CATCAAGTAGCGGCAAGTAAACAGAATATACGAACATAGTTGAATGTTGTCTGCACCATACATGATGCCCATTCACCTCGATTTGATGTCTTCTCAATTTGAACATGTGCTTTATCTTAAAATCATTTATTGACATTTTGCCTGATCTCATCTTCATTATTCAGTAGCCTCAACCCTCCTCGTATCCCTTCCTGTCAAGCTATTTATTCATTTCTTTTTTTAAAATTGTTTTTTAAAGACCGAGTATTTTACTTAGTCTGGCAATTTTCTTAGGAATTTAAAATATCTTTTAAATTGTATTCATGGTTTTAATTAGGGTGATGACTGATTTTGCGAGTGCTCTCATTGCACAGTTGCGATAGGTTTTGAGAAGTCACCTCTGACCCTGTTTCCTCCCTAACCTCTACAATTTGGGGAACACAGTTTTTCATGAAGCACTATTTCTAGGAAACATGTTTCACATACTTGCAGAAACTCCCTGTTTGCAGCGCTGTATGTGACCGGGGCCTAGAGTGGCTCATCAGCTCTAAGACACAGCTATTTTACATTTTACCCTCTCTCCAAGTGGACTGTAGCTTTCAGTAGGTGGAGTCTTTCAATTTCAATTGCCATTTGGTTTTCTTTGTTAGTGATAAAATAGTAGTGCATTTTAGAAGACATAGACTACTTAGATTTGATGAAGCACTCTCGTATCCAGAATGTAAAGAAAAACAAATCAAGTTTTAGAAGACAGGCAGGGCAATAGAGAAATGGCAAAAGCCTTGACCAGTCACTTCACAGCTGAAGAAATCTCTATGGCTAGTAAATATTTGAAAAAGAATGTATAATGTCATAAACCAGTTGTACATTAAATGCACAGTGAGATGCCTTTACATGTCGACATAAGTTTAAAAACCTGGCAGGTGTTAATGAGGACGTAAAAGAATGCATATGTCATGATTCCATTACCATGAAGTTACAGAACAGGCCAAATTAACCTGTGTTGCTTAGAAATGCATTACTTAGTTGGTAAACATTTTAAAGAAGAAAGGAAATTGTCATCACAAATATCAAGATAGTGAGTACATTTGGGGGTGAGGGGAAGGAGAGATTTTTGGTTGGAGGCATACAAGGGGGCTTTTGGTGTCCTGGTGATGTTCTCTTCACTTGGATGGGTGTGATGTATTATTAGTTGTTAAACTTTACATATATGTTTTATCAACCTTTCTATGGGTTTCAGAATCAAACAAAAGAGGGAAATGGCCAGTTTTATCAAATGTTGATACAAGGTCAGGTAGTACGAAGACTGAGACTCCAGCAAAGTGGTTAAGCAAAGTGGAGACTTCTGATGAACAACGCAAATTGTCTCAGCAGAGTATGTGGGGCGGTGATCTGATTGGAATGGGCTCAGAAGACAGTGAGAGGAGAGGAGTTGGAGACTGTGCGTAAACAGGACTGAAGAATTTTTACGTAAAAAGGAGAATTATAGTGGTGACTGAGGCAATACAGAAAGTTTTACATTAAGTATATAGAGTATCAGGAGAATATAAAGATAAATTTTCTGGAATGCTGAAGACAATGAGGTAGGGTAGAAGAAGGGAGAGAACTTTTTATGTGTGTGGGATTATACTTTTTGGGGACTAGGATGTCAAAATTTGTGGTATCTATATTTGTTAAGAGAATTAACATTAAAGCTACTTTCTAAGTCTTGGAAACATGTATGTCACACCTACCATTTCATATCTACTAATGGAATGAATCATGAACCTCATCTTGCTCAACACTGCTTTGTAGAAAGAGGAGGACGCCCAGAGGGATTAAGGGCTTGCTTAAAATTGTACCATTAATAACAATTCTAGACTAAAACCCAGAGTAGCTCCTGCCCCTTGGATCAGTGCTCTTTTTATAATGTTATCTGTAATACGGTTTTCTTTTAAGTGGGGTTTTATATAATCAGTACTTGTTATAGTAGAATTTATTTGGGTAATATGTCTATTAGCCTTTCCCACATAGCAAATCACCCTAGCACTTAATGGCTTGAAATAACCATCGTGCATTATTTCTCATGAATGATTCCGTGAGTCAGAGGGACTCAAGTGGGACCACTCTTGTGGCTGCAGTCATTGGCGCCTCCACTTGGGTTGTGGGGGCAGAGATGGCCTCACTCACATAGCTGGAACCCTGGTTCCAGACCCTGGGGCTCTCTTATCATAGTCTAGGCTTCACTTCCATACTTGGTGGTGGAATCATTCCAACATGGCAAAGAAGGAAGCCTAGACTCCTGAAATTGGACAAAATCATGTCCTCCACCTTAAATTCCAAACAAACCATGAATCCAGTCTAGATTTCAGAGATGAAGCAGTAGGCTGCCCCATCACTTGATAGGAGGAGGTAAAAAATATTGTGGCCACATTTTTCATCTATCACAAATTATTATAAATTTTAAATTTAATCACTAAATTTATTTTCTAATGTTAGTTTTTACTTATTATGGAACAAAAGCTGTTAAGCTTTTGGGGGGAATCTAATGATGTAGTTTAGTCACTATATATATAAGAAAACAAAAATTTTACAATGAAAACAATATTTTAACAACCAAAAAGAAAGACTTTTCAGATTTTGTATCCTCTGTGATATAGAGCAGATAAAGAAATGCTCATTTTTTATAAAAAGTTGGGTAAGAATGAGGGGTAAAATTTGTTGAATACAGTCTTTGTTGCTTATAGTGTTGGCTTACTTGTTGTTTTCTGAGATCGTTACCATTAATGTTTTATTAACATCTTTGTGGATTTTTTCATGTTATAGAATGTATGTAACAGAATGTAACGCAACTAAACAGTAAGAGCAATTAGTAATTTCCCATGAATTATAATAATAGCATATTTCTGGACATTGCTAATTATATTTGTGTAAAATTTCACATAATTTCCTTGACAAGTGTCTGTATTGCATACCTACCATGATTGTTTCACTATGCTAAGACCTGAGGCTATTACTTTGAACCACTTAGACGTGATTCCTTCATGTTCCATACCCCAGAATGGCTTTTTGAAGAAACTTTTTTTTTAATGTTTATTTTTGAGAGACAGAGCACACACACATGGAGGAGGGGGGTGTGGGAGAGTAGGAGCAGAGAGAGAGGGAGACAGAGGATCCAAAGCAGGCTCTGCACTGACAGTGATGTGGGCCTTGGATCCACAAACCGTGAAATCATGACCTGAGCTGAAGTTGGACAGCTTAACTGGCTAAGCCACCTAGGTGCCCCACTAAAGAAATTTTCTAGGCCAGGAGTTAGTTGAGGTAGGAGTGTGAAAGGGAAGAGGAAGTCTTCCAGGGAAAAGATTGGCTTGGACAAAGGCCTTATGGAGGTAACCAAGTGCAAGGAACATTAAGAAAACTGGGAGGGAGGGGAGGAACCTCTTATGGTTAAAGCCTGGAATGTGAAAAGGGTGAGGCAGTAAAGAACCTGGAAAGGTAGAGTGTGGACTTAAATGCTAAAGATCATAGGAAACCTTTTGATGGATTTAGAGGTTTTTTGCCAGATGATTGTGTTAGAGAAGTCACTGGCTGCAGTCTTGGGTAAGGAGAGTAGCCAGGGAGAGCACGGTTTGAACGTAGATAGTAATATGAATTAGGTGAGTATGAGAATGAATTAAAGTATGTCAATCTCGAGGTATTCAGGAGATGGAATCAACCAGATTTGTTGACTAGATGCGGAACAGATGGAGGAACCCAAGATGGCGGACTCGCTAGTTTCTGGCTTGGAGCGCCATTCATGAATAGGGAGCAGAAGTGGAGGAAGAGGTTTGGGGAGGCATTCTTGTGCAGGATTGGCGACAATATCCCAACTCTGTTCCCAGGCTAAATACTTGGGTCTCTTTATTGTATTTTCCACTATTTGAAATATTTTTTCTAGTATCTAGAACTGATACTAAATTTTCAATTTAATTGTATTCAGTAAAATTCAGTCAAATGTAGCAATGCTGCCGTAACTTGAATTTATACTTTTGATCTGAAAGAGTTTACTTTAGCATCAGTTCTTTAATAGATAGAAATTTAGTGTTGTATTGCCATAGTGTAGTTCATTAAACAGTGTATTTCTTAAATTTTTGAAATTACCTGAGAATAATGGCTAAGACACAATATATGAATACCTACCTTAAGCCTTTTATTCATTAATCTAAAATAATTTCATAATTAATATTTGTCCAACTTTTAAAACTAGGCTTTATTAAAAGAACCTTTAAAAATTGTTTCTCTCCTTTTATTGTCCTTCATGACTCTAGCAAGTAGAAGGTTAGCTTACATTATTCCAGGGAAGAAACAAATGTAGCTTGATAAAAATGAAGTCTGCATACACCTGAAACTAATACTGTATGTCAACTTTACTTCAATTAAGAAAGAAAAAAAAAGAATACATGTCCCCCAAAATATGAAGTCTATCATGGGAAGATTTATCTTTCCTTCAGATGTTAAGCAGTGATAATTGAAGTAAAAGAATTAACTGTTGGGGGCACCTGTGTGGCTCAGGCGGTTAAGTAGCCAACTCTTGGTTTAGGCTCAGGTCATGATCTCATAGTTTGTGAGATCGAGCCCTGTTTTGGGCTCTGTGCTAAGAGCTCTGAGCCTGCTTGGGATTCTCTCTCTCCCTCTCTCTCCTCTCTCTCTCCCCTTCCTCCTGCTCATGTGCAATCTCTCTTTCTCAAAATAAATAAACTTAAAAAAAAAAAAAAGACTTAACTGTTGTGTCTTAGAAAGTTAAGCTTCCTTTGACACTAAAACTTTTTTTATAGCTATCTATAGATTTTATTAAAGTGTGTTTAGTCATTCTACATTATTGTCTTACTCTCACGTAAAAATTCTAAAATTTTCTGATCCTCATTCTAGAAGGTTCCATATATTCAGTAGTATGTTTCTCCAATGTGTTCTCTGTTGACTGTATTTTCTGTTATTCTCAATATTTTGTAAGTTTAAAAGCACTTTACAACCTATTTTTTTCTTGTTTTTTTTTTTCCCCTTAGGCACTACGAGGGCCCCCAGGGACGGGGAAGTACCAGGGGTGGACTATAATTTCATTTCTGTTGAACAGTTCAAAGCACTGGAAGAGAGTGGAGCGTTATTAGAAAGTGGAACGTATGATGGTATGTCCCCAAATACTGACCACAGCGGCAACCTACAAAACTATGTGAATTATTAGGAAACTGATTAGAATTATTTCAAAGGGAATTTGATCAGTAAAACGCCATTTTTGTAAAAATTTTTTCTGTTGGTCTTTGGGAAATTTTTCTTTTGGTTAGACTCTTTGTCATTTACTAACTAAAATGGGATTAAATAATAAGCACAAAGATTCCATCATATTATGAAGCAGATTGTGAAGAATATACTGAAATCATTCAAACTGGCCATTTGCATATTTCATAGGAATTCATATTCATCATATGAACTCAGCATGAGTTTGTTGATTGCTCTCTGTTTGTGGTTAGGAATCCAAATACTGTGCACTTAAAGTCTATAGCTTGGCTCTCTTTGAAGAAAAGAATATAGATTAGTGGGGAAAACCACAAAAATAGAATAATTGATTTTCTTTTCTTATCTCTTCTCTACCCACTTGACTCTAGGAAGGAGAGACTTAAGACCAGTTTCCATTTTTAAATGAGGCCACATTCCATCCTTTAACCTCCCCCTTACCTCCACTCTCCACTGGCAAGCTTGTCCCCTCCCATGGCTTCCTGTACTTCTCCATCATTGTTTCATCACCCCAGCATGGTCGCCTTTATCACATGCTTGGTGAAGGCAGCATCATGTCTTTGTTCCTCAGAAGACTCTTATAGTGTTTAGAAACAGTATTCAATAAACACTGACCTTGAATTCATCGTATCCAAAGGGGTATTTGTGTGCATCTGAGAGAGTAACTCATAATTTCTCACTTTAGCTTCACCTGGGCTCCAAACCGTGGAGTCGTCATTTGCTTCCTCCTCTTCCTCATATTTCCATGGTCTGGTACCAAATCCAGCCATTTCTTCCTCTGCAGCAGCTTTCCCAATGCCTTTCTTTCCACTGGCTTGCGTCTGGGCTACTGTGGTTGATGTCATTTGTTCACCTTCTTCCCTCCGTGCAGCCCACCTGCCCATGGCTGCCGTGCTGGTCTTCCTCCAGCACACCTCTGCTTGTGGCTCTCTCCTCTTCAAAGTCTTTGGTGATTTGCTTTTGCCATGGGCTCTGGGCTTAGCTCCCACAACTCATTCATTCATTCATTCATTCATTCAGCAACCCATTTTCTTTTTATTTTTAAGTTGGTTTATTTTGAGAAAGAGAGAGTGCACTTGAGCAGGGGAGCTGAGAGAGACAGAGAATCCCAAGTGGGCTCCACACTGTCAGCGCAGAGCCCAGTGTGGGGCTCGATCCCATGAACCACAAGATGGTGACGTGAGCTGAAATCAAGAGTCAGATGCTTAACTGACTGAGCCACCCAGGTGCCCCCCAGCAACCCATTTATTAAGTACCTACAATATGCCAAGCAGTGTAAGAGGGAATAGTGATACTGTGGTGAATAATATTGAAACAGTACTGCCTTAATACATCCCAAATCTAAGGAGGAAGGTAGTAAAACAAACAAAATCAAACAAACATCAAAAGGAGATGTTATAAAGGAAACAAAAATAAGAGATTTAAAGAAAATAGTAGGAATATCTTATTACAGTGGCCTGTGAAGAGAGGAAGTGGCCACTGCCATCTTGTATTTTTATGCAAATAGCCTATTCTCATTCACTTCCCTCTTAGTGGCAGCCAGATTGATGCGTTCAATATGTATGCCTTTGTTTGTATGCCTTCTTGCAAAATGTATATTGTGCCTCATGTGCATGCATTTATTATTTGCATGTATCTACTATTTATTATTCTAGAGCTCATTCAGTTTTTAACTGTTTCCCATTATTTCTATGTTTTCTAGATTCACCCATGTTGCTATACTGTATTTATGTGTAATTCATTGCCTTTTTAACCACCACACAGTACTCCATATTGTGAATCCACAGCATTTTATGTAACCCCTCTCCTAGTGATTGACTTCCAGATTGCTTGCAGCCACCCCCACCCCCATCACAGACAAAGCTGTGACATCCTTTTCTCCTAGAACTGTGTGAAGGTGTCTGTGGCATATGTACCCAGGGGCAGAATTGTGGGGTTATAAGGGCTGCCTGTACTCGCTCTGGTGAAGTGGTTGAGGTAGCTCTGCCTCTGCATTCCCAGTAAGTTCCTGCAGCAGCCCCAGTAAGGACTCCACATCCTCACCATCTAGCTTTAGAATTTTGTCAGTCTGGTGGTTGTAGAAGTGCTATCTCCTTTAAATTCGAGTTTCTCTGGTCATCAGAGTGTTTGAGCATCTCTTCATATGCCTGTTACTAAGTATCTTTTGGTTCGTATTTTTTTTTTTAAGTGGGATCTCAATTTGTGGACATTTCTTAGATACTTAGATGTTTACTTAGAAATTAATTCCTTATTGGATATAGATGTTTTCTTCCATTCTGTCACCTAATAAGCTTGTTCTCTGTTTCTTCATTAAACAGAAATCCTTAATTTTTTTAATGTTTATTTATTAATTCTTGAGAGAGAGAGGGGCAGAGGGGCAAAGGGAGAGAGAGAATCCCAAGCAGGCTCTATACCGATAGCGAAGAGCCCAATGTGGGGCTCAAACCCACGAAGTGTGAGATCATGAGCCAAACCAAAATCAAGAGTCAGATGCTTAACCAACTGAGCCACCCAGTGCTCCAGAAATCCTTAATTTTTGTGTATGAGATTATCACTGTTTTTTTTAGGGTTTGTGCTTTGAAGTTTTGTTTAAGAAGTCTTTCTCTGTGGGTGCCTGGGTGGTTCAGTCTGTTGAGCTTCCAACTCTTGATCTTGGCTCATGTCGTGATCATGAGATCGAGCTCTGCATCAGGTTCAGTGCTGATGGCACAGAGCCTGCTTGTGATTCTCCCTCTCTCCCTGTCTCTGCCCCTCCCTGTGCTCATTCACTTGGACCCTGTCTCTCAAAATAAATAAACGTTAAAAAAAAAAAGTCTTTCTCTGCCCTTATACCACAAAGACATTCTCCTTTTCTTTGCTCTGTTAAGTATAAGAACGTGGATTTGACAGTGTGGAGTATTACATGTTATTAATTGCTGTGCTGAATTCAAAGGAAATGCAAATTGAAATACTCCATTTCACACCCATCAGATTGACAGAAATCTTAAAGTATCATAATTGTGGGAAGTGGAAACTCCCATACACTGCTGGCAAGAGTATAAAATGATACGATCCCTTTTTGGGGAGCATCTTGGCATAGCTGGTAAATTTGAAGATGCACTTAATTCTGACCCACTAGTTCCCTCTTTTAGATGCCTACTCTAGAGAAACCCTTATCTCTGAGCATATATAGTCACATACCAGACTGGTCATTACAGCATTAATTTGAAACGGTGAGAGAATGGAAACAACTCTGTTTTAGTAGGGGAATTGGTAAGTGTGTTTTAATTTGCTCATGAAAATGGACTATTATACAACAGTTAAATGGACTTGAATCTACATGTATGAACAGTAATAAGTCTTAGAAATCTAATTGTATAAAAAAAATGCTGCAAAAGAATCCATACAGCATACCGTTTAAGAAGATATGAAATGTTCTAAAAACCTTTATGAAGCTTTTATGAAAACACTGCCACTTATATGTTATGTGTGCACGTACATACATCCCAGCTGTACACAGTGTAACTTCGGGACAACTCCCAGAGAGTGTAGGAAGGATGGCGATTGGAAGCTAGGGCTTTAATTGAATATGTGACCATTTATGTAAGTCCTTTAAGAGGGATAAAAGGAAGACCTGAAAGGAATCTGGTAAAAGCTAACTACATAAGGCTGCTTCTAATACAGTTGTCTGTGGTTTTGTATGCATTTAAAATATTTAATAGTTGATAATTCTGTTTGAAAAATTTTAAAAACCTTCAGAAAAGAAAAAGCGGAGGAGAAAAAAACCCTCCAAGACAGTTTCAAAAAACTGAAAACCTTTCTTCCAATAATAACGATAGTCAGGATTCACAAACCATGTCATTTTTGCACCTTGCTGTATCTGAAATCTTGCTATTTACCAACAACCCAAGAAAAATAGATCTAATTTCCTTATAAGGAATGCTAATTTTCTTTTTTTTAATTTTTAAAAATGTTTTATTTATTTTTGAGAGAGAGAGAGAGAGAGCGCCAGTGTGAGCAGGGGAGGGTTAGAGAAAGAAGGAGACCCATAATCTGAAGACAGGCTCCAAGCTCTGAGCTGTCAGCACAGAGCCCGACATGGGGCTCAAACCCATGAACCATGAGATCATGACCTGAACCGAAGTCAGGTGCTCAACCAACTGAGCCACCCAGGCACCCCTAATTTTCTTCTTTGATCTAAATCCAATAATGGTGTTTAAATAAGGAAACTGCCTACATTTATTATGAAGTCCTCAAACCTTCACGAACATGGGTAGTAATCTAAATATCCCAAATTTGTCTGACTTCACCCTGGAAGACAGTTAAACTTCTTGAGTGAGGTAGTAGTTACTAAATCTATACAGTAACATGTGTGGCTAGCATTTCTACTAAAAATACCATCCTTAGAGAAGGGGGACATTTGATTTTTGCCATGGCATGGCCAAGTTCCTGGGCAGTGTGATCATGGGACACGATGCAGGACAAATTGAGATCCTGGGGCACCCTCCTGCTCCTCAACCAGATCTTTCTTTGGAACGTTTCTGTGCCCTCTGCCCCAGAGAAGTGTGAGTTGGCCTCTTCGCTGAGTCCTTGCTTTATTACTTGTGGCCCAGAAAGTTCGCAGAGACCTCCTCTGAGCCTTTTAATATGGACCTTTGCATCCGTCGGCATGACAGAAGTAACTCCATTTCACACCTGGATTTGGAAGCAGGGGGTAGTTGAGTGGGAGAGACAAGAGGTAATTGAAACGTGTTTTGGTTTGATTCGTTGTTTTGCCTTGAATATTTTAACGACAGCTACCACCCAGATTTCCGAAGAATTTATCTAGGTGCTTTCTCGTCAAGGCACACAGGACTGAAGGTGAACTTATTTGTAGATTTGCCTCAGTATTATGGTGAACAACCTATGCTTTTTTATCTGGCACAAATAATTAATCATATGCCCCGTTAATTTACTTTATGTGAGGAGCATCATAATTGCCTGCTTAAGGGACCCCTGAGTGGCTCAGTCAGTTAAGTGTCTGACTTTGGCACAGGTCATAATCTCACAGTTCATGTGTTGACAGCTCAGAGCCTGGAGCCTGCTTCAGATTCTGTGTCTCCCTCTCTCTCTGCCCTTCTTCTTCTTCCTCTTGCGCGCATTCTCTCAAAAATAAATAAACATTAAAAAAAAATTTTTTTTAATCGCCTGCTTAAGAGCCCAGGAATTTGATTAGAATTTGTGATTTTTATGAGTATTTTATTCCCTAATCGTATTTATTTTCCTGTAGCATTAGCGTAGTGGCTGATAAAAGGTCAAAACTAGCAGGAGCCATACACTGTTGATGTAGCTAGACCTTTTGAGTGGTTTTCCATTGTATTTGGCTGCCTACTGGGACTTGCATGACAAATTAAGAAGATACTCCATTGTTTTCGTTCTACTTTGGAACATTTATTTTTACTGCAACAATTCCTGATCCTCAAGACTTAGAATATTAAAGTATTTCTTTCTTTCCTGAGAGTAAGCCAATATTGAATTAGGCTAATAATGTCTCTATTTGTTCAATAAATTGTCAAATAAAATAATATAATTAGAATGCTCAGAGAACCTAAAAATTACTTTTACATAAACAGCCTACATTTCAACACACACTGGTTAGTCCTTATCCTTTACCCACATATTTCCTCATTTTACCAAAATAGTTCATTATGTTGCACATCAGAACAAAATTATTTGAATTAGTTATCTCTTCCTTTACTCCCACTTCTTATGCCAGTTAGTCTTACACAAGAGCATTGGTGCATTTAAACTCACAAATCAGGCCCTAATTTAGAACCCATGCAGAGCAAGCCCTGTAGGAATAAATAAACTATGTACATGAAGTCAACTTCCTATCCTTAGTACAAACAGCATTAAAAAGTTAGGTAATGTTAGGAACTCCTGGGTGGTTCAGTTGGTTAAGCATCTGACTCAGGCTCAGGTCATGATCTTGTGGTTCGTGAGTTCGGGTCCCGGGTCGGGCTCTGTGCTGACAGCTCAGAGCCTGGAGCTGCTTCAGATTCGGTGTCCCCCTCTCTTCACCCCTCTCCTGCTTGTGCTCTGTGTCTGTCTCTCTCAAAAATAAACATATGTCAAAAAAATTTTTTATGTTAGATAATGTTAGAAAATACATGGTGAAGGGCACTTGAAAAATTATTTTTTTCTGTTCTCTGTTCTTTCTTCCTCCCCCTAAGGAGGAGTTTTGGCTTCCTTTTGACTAATGGTGATTTTTTAGAAGCCTCAGTATAAAATAGCAGGACAGAGACATATGCTGGGCCACGTTGTTCTGACTCTCAGTTCAACCTCAGTTCTTTCAGCTGCTGTTACTTTGTCCATTTCAGGAAACTTCTATGGAACTCCCAAGCCTCCAGCAGAACCCAGCCCTTTCCAGCCAGATCCAGTGGATCAGGTCCTGTTTGATAATGAGTTTGACACAGAATCCCAAAGAAAGCGAACCACATCTGTCAGCAAGATGGAGCGAATGGACAGCTCTCTTCCGGAAGAGGAAGAAGATGAGGACAAGGAGGCTGTTAACGGCAGTGGAAATGCGGGTTTGTAAATAGATGTGTCACTTCTAACTGACCTTATTGACTTTAACATGACACTAAATTGGAATTAGCAAAATCTATCACAAAATGTGTGTAGAGCAGGTGAGGCGGTTCTAATTTTTTTCTAAACGGTTGTGCGTGGAACACAGTGTATCTCTGGCAACCATCTTAGAAGCTGAAGTGAGTTGCACCAAGTGGCGGTTTTGAGAAGTCAGTAATAAGCTGTCCTCACTAATAACATCATATGCCATTGCCCTGTTACTTGAAATACTTGAGGCTCCAAGATATGGGAATCCCATTAGCCTGAGTCCTACTTTACAGAATAGGAACAAAATGTAATTTTAAGATCTAGCCTTCAACTAAAAATGCAGAAGGTTAGAGATATGCCAGTAAAAATTACCTGAAAGATTATTGTTAGCAATACGTTGTGTTTCAGTTCTTAATCACCCAAAGAAAATCTCCAAACCTGACTCTCTTATTTTTCATTTAATGCAAAACCAACAGAAATCTAGTGGTGGAGAATCTTCCTTTGAGCACCCCTAAATAATGTGGTGGTTGCTTAGGAGATTCTCACCCTTCTCATCGAGAGTAGAAGTGGGAAGCTACAGAATTACAACAGAACTAATTTTAGTGTATTTATTATAACATTTTCTTCAAAACACTAGACTATGAGCTTCATAAGGGTTGGACGTTTTGCGTGGTTTGTCCATTGCTGTAGCCCTTGCACCATAAACAGTGCCTGGCACAAAGTAGGAACTAAGAGAGTATTTTATTGATACCCAGTAAATGAATGAATTTGATCACATCCCCAAATTCACAGAACCCATTACCATATTTATTTTCCCAAGGCATCTGATGTTTTCCCTCACCCTCTACTACAATTTGCCGTGTGTGTTGTATGGGCTGTCTTAATATATTCGCTCGTGTCTTCCTCCAGAGTGAGAGTCCTATTTTTTGGTCCTGACATCTTACACAGTTATGCCACATCTGATATTTGATGTTAATTACCCCAGTATATTTGGGTGTAGGGACTGAAAACGGGTGTAAAAAGGTTTAGGTGAATTCAGGTCTAATCTAGGGGCTGTTAAGGGAACCCCTCATACTGTAAAGCTTTTACGGTTGATGTCAGCTTTCTTTGCTCTCCCACAAAATTAAGCCTGTTACCATTTCTAAATGTTTAAGACTGGGATCAGAGACCATGAACCTGTCCCAACGTGGGAACTGCTGTGTCCTTAATTTGAGGGCAAGACGTGTTCTGTTTTTACTTCCTAAGGCAGAGTCTTCTGGTGCCCCTGCAGTTCCCCGAGAGGGGAGCCTGTCTGTCCTCTCCATAGTTTTACGCTTGTCATGTGAGTCCATTGTTAAACCAGATGTTACTAACTCTTTGATGATAATATTTAAAGGGAATATATTCAGGGCACCTGGGTGGCTCAGTTAAGGTCCGACTCCGGCTCAGGTCATGATCTCATGGTCTGTGGGTTTGAGCCCCGCGTTGGGCTCTGTGCTGACAGCTCAGAGCCTGGAGCCTGCTTCGAATTCTGTGTCTCCCTCTCTCTCTGTTCCTCCATGACTCATGCTCTGTCTCTGTCTCTGTCTCTCTCTCAAAAATAAACATTAAAAAAATTTTTTTTAATGATAAAGGGAGTGTATCCAAGAGTGGGAGGCAGTTTGTATACTACATCTTGTGTGTAGATTCCATAGGACACCTCCACTGGATTACATACTTCTTTGTAAGAGAAAATATTCAGAATATTTTAATGAAAACACAATAAAAGACATGACTAAAACCCTTGGTCTTTTCCGAATTAGTACTAACCCTGGTTGTTAACTTACTGAAAGTTGTGGAAATGTGCTTTGTGTGTTGCTTTTGGGAACTAGAATTTCTGCCTTGAAAAATCGACAATTTGTGGGGAGGGAAGAGGGGAGAAGATGGGTAAAGATTTATTTGTGTATACCAATATGTACATTATTTTTTAAAACTCATTTTAAAGTTTATTTATTTATTTTGAGAGAGAGCACAAATGGGGAAGGGGCATAGAGAGAGGGAGAGAGAGAGAATCCCAAGCAGGCTCTGAACTGTCAATGCAGACCCCAACGTGGGGCTCGATCTCATGAACCATGCAAGATCCTGACCTGATCTGAAATCAAGAGTCAGATGCTCAACTAACTGAGCCACCCAGGCGCTTCCCAGTGTTGTATATTATTTTATGTGCTGCTGAAGAATTAATGTAAGAATGCAGATATACCCAGATAGGATGACATATGTTATATAATAATGCTGACTTTTTTCCTAACAGATGGTTGCTATATAAACAGTATTTCCAAGTCATTGGCTATTAAGTGAACTCCTTTACACACTCACTCTGAACCATATCATATGGTTGCTTTTGCTTTTCTCCAAAATACTTATATCCCAGGAATGTAACTCTCTTTCAGATTGATTTCCACATTGAGTGACTTTTAATTTCTGTCCCTTTTTTTGCCTAGAGAATGAATCATATGTTTTAGTCAGACTATGCATCCAACAAATATTTATTGAGCACCTGTTACACTAAGTGCCAAGCATTTTTCTAACAGCTGGAAATAAAACACTAAACAAAACAGACAAAACCCCCTGGCTTTATGAACTTGGCCTTCTAGTGGGAAGAGACAGAATTATCCAACGTGGATGAGTAGCATATATTAGAGAGTGCTTAAGAGAAAAAGCGAAGGGGGAAAAGGATAAAAGATAGTGGTGACCAAAGTTTGTGGTTTTAAAAAGAGCAGCAGAAAAGATCTCACTGAGAAGAGGACTTTGATAGAAGTGTGGTGTAAGCTCAAAATATCTGGGAGGAAAACATTCCAGATTCCGAGGTGGGAATATACCTGGAGTATCATCCAAAGGCAGGGAAGCCAATATAGTTGGATACGGTATAGACAGTGCACTCTATGTGCTGGAGCACAGGGATGGAAGGGCACAAAATAGTAAGCAGTGGAGTCAATCAGGTAATGACTAGGGGATGTGGAAACGTGCATTACATAAGATCTTCTAGGTCGTTGGAAGAATTTGGCTTTTTTAAATAAAGAATTTTGCTTTTTATTTTGAGATGAGGAACCACTTAGGGTTTTTTAGTAGAAGGATAACTTTATAAAACAGATTTTAATAGGCTCATTCTGGTTTCACATTGAAAATAGGCGGTAGGATGGGGTGTCTGGATGGCTCGGTTGGTTAAGCGTCCAACTTTTGATTTTGGCTCAGGTCATGATCTCACGGTTGTGAGATCAAGCCCTGTGTCAGACTCCACACTGAGCAGGGAGCCTGCTTGGGATTCATTCTCTCCCACTCCCTCTGCCCTTCTCCCTGATCTCTCTCTCTCTCTCTCCCATTCTCTCTCAAGAAATTAAATTAAGAAAATAGGCAATAGAAGGTCATGGGCATAAACAGCGATACTAGTTAAGAGGTTGTAATTTAAGTGAGAAATACTGGTTTGGACCTGACTAAAGTGTGACAGGTAGGAAGTGGCCTGAGCCAGTGACGTTTGCTGACAGACTGGATATGAGACCCGAGAGAACAAAGATCATTTCATGGGTTTTAATGTGAGTATCTGGAAGAATGGAGAGTGGAGTTGCATTTACTGAGATGAGGGAGATTTTTTTTTTCTTAAATAGTTCATTGTTAAGTTGGCTTCCATGTAACACCCAGTGCTCATCCCGACAAATGCCCTCCTCCATGCCCACCACCCCCCCTTCTCCTCTCCCTCACCCCCATCAGCCCTCAGTTTGTTCTCAGCATTCAAGAGTCTCTCCTGGTTTGCCTCCCTCCCTCTCCCCAACTATTTTTCCCCTTCTTCTCCCACATCATCCTCTGTTAACTTCCTCCTAATCCACCTATACGTGCAAACATACGGTATCTGTCCTTCTCTGCCTGACTTATTTCACTCAGCATAACACGAGATGAGGGAGATTTGAAGAGGAGTCAATTTGGGTTGGAAGAGGGTGGTAGGTGCTCAGATTGAGGTATTTGAGCTTAAGATGCTCACTAGACATCCACATGGCAATGTCATGCTTGAAGTTGGGCTTACAAGTCTATGTCTGGTCTCAGGATGCATATTTGGACCTCATCAGCATACAGCTTGTTGAGTAACGAACAACACTGAAGGAGACCAACAAGAGAGTAAGTGTAGAAAGAGAAGAGAAAAGGTCCAAGGACTGAACCCTGAGAAGGCCTCTAATACATGGAGCTCAGGGAGCCTAAGAAGGGCCAGTGACATCGAAGGCACACCAGGAGGGTGGAGTGTCCTGGAAGCCAGGGAAAGAGAATGATAAACTATATCAGATGCCACTGGGGGCTCACATAAGGTGGCCACCAAGAATTGATCATTGGACTTAGCTGTGTGGGGGTAAACAAGGTCATCCAATGAGATTAGGGACAAGGGAGAAGTAATGATAGAGTTAAGGAGAAGAAAGGTATGAAATGGTTATCTAGGAGAGTGGCAGAGTGAATGGACTCTGTGATTATCATACATCATTAAATGCCCTCTTGAGGTTAGTGATCATAAATCAAAAGTGACCTTGTTAGTATTGCCTGTATTCAGCTACATGTGCTGCCGTAGAGCAGGGGGGAAGATTTAAGCAGAGTTCCAGTTGAGCCGGGCACGTATGATGAAGTAAGGTTAAGGCAAAGCAGTGCCTCAGTTACATGAATAGGGCAATGAAGACATGACGAGGGACAGTGAAAGGTAGTAGGTAGTAGTATTAATGGATCATAGAACTTGTTTGGATAAAGGACAGTGGGAGTAGAAATACTATAGGTAATGATATCTAAGGCTTCTTCTAAGATTCTCTGATTCCAAGGCATTGCCTACAGTTTGGAGTTGTTACCTTATAAGTCTAGAAGTGAGTTTTAAGTGCATGAAATGTGAATTCCCTAGACAGTAACCAAATTTTAGTATTCTTACCTATGTTATTGACTCTGGGACTCTAAAAAGACTTTAAGATCACCAAAAGAATTATATTTAACAACAGGAAGTCTGTTGAGTGTAATTAAAAAAAAAAAACTCATATAATTTTAAAGGCCTGTGTTAAATGTGTATGAGACAGGTTGGTATAGCAGTTAAGAGCATGGATCACTTAGATTTAACCTTGATGTTGCTGTCATTAGCTGTGTGACCTTGACTAAGCCTCACTGTGCCTTAGTGTGCTCATCTATAATCTGTAAAACAGAAAAGGAGGAACAAATAATCACAGGGTTGCCGTGAAGACCCTGAGTTAAAATGGAGCCTGGCGTTATAAAAGGACAGAATGAGAGGCGCTGTGACTGCTCTTGCGGTAGTAGGTGACAGATGCGTATTCACGATGTACTGAATCGATTCCGCTATTGGTTTTGCTTCTTTCCCAGACCACATCAGACATGCTGTTCTGGGTTCATGTCACTTCACAAGTGCAAAAAATTTAGTATGTTTGTCACTTCAAAAATTATGGCCGAACGTGGACATATTACACAGGGAAATTTGCAATAAATATTTGACATTTTGGTAGAAATGCAGAGAAGAGAGTGTAACTTTACCTACTTTGCACGCTGTTCTGTTTTGAATGGCAGAAAACAGAGAGAGGCATTCTGAGTCCTCTGACTGGATGAAGACTGTCCCGAGTTACAACCAAACAAATAGCTCCATGGACTTCAGAAATTATATGATGAGAGACGAGAACCTGGAACCTCTACCCAAAAACTGGGAAATGGCCTACACCGACACGGGGATGATCTACTTCATTGAGTAAGCAAATGTCTGTATCTCTTCTAACACACCCCGTCACTGCGAGGTTGTCTTAACATTTTTAAATTCTCATTTCACAAGGCTTCCGTTTCTTTTTAATTTCTTGAAAAAGATTGGGGTGCCTGGGTGGCTCAGCCAGTTGAGCATCTGACTTCAGCTCAGAGCATGATCTCATGATTCTTGAGTTCAAGCTCCACATCGGGCTCTGTGCTGACATCTCGGAGCCTGGAGCCTGCTTCAGATTCTGTGTCTTCCTCTTTCTCTGCCCATCTCCACCTTCTCAAAAGAAACAAATATTTAAATATATATATATATACACATATATATTTCATACAAGTAACGGTTGATCCTAAATCTGATGATTTCCCTGGATAATATTTCATTTTTATCTGACTTGGATAAAGGAATAGTGTATTTGACTTCTGGTTTTGTAAAAACAAGAGAATAAAAACAGGTTTATCATGAATAATGAAGAATGAGCCATGAGAAGAGTATTTTGCCTTGCTATTTTTTTAAATTTTTGGTAGATTGGCTAACTTAATGAGCATTTCAAGAATTACCATCATCTGGAGGAAGGACTTATTTATTATCTGAGCTTCATATTTTTAGTTCTAGATACATACAGTGTAGTTGAATAATATAGGAGGGAAATATCACTGATCCTCAGACTAATTGGTACAATATAAATTGATAAAACCTAATTTATGAGAAAGCACTAATATAAATATATTTATAGAGACATAGAACCACATGTATTTGATCAGTCTACAGTTTAATATGGTTTAGACCAGAGAATACTATAACAAATGATTTTTATGTCATCAGTATGAATAAATGATTTTTTGGGAGCTTCATTATGAAGCATTTTTATGTTCTAATGCAGCTGTCATTCTCCTCTTTAGAATAATTTGCCTGGAGGTAGAATATGAATGTGGTGAAGTTACAGAATATAACAGTTGAATAACAATTAAAATATTGAGGGCTGGACACTGCAGTTAAGGAACATATACTTTAAAATGAATTAGGAGTGGGAGACTTAAATCTGTTTCTTCATTTAGTCCCGAATTCCGCATCTGTCCCAGAGAGTGAGCATCTTGCTCTACCAAGTGGGATTCTAGTATTTAAAAGACATAGATTTTGTGTGTATTGTATGTATTGTCTTTACCATATATGGTACATTATTAATTCTGCACTAATGTAAACATTAATGACAAGGATTATGCAAAACAGACAAAATCAGGTATATTCTCTGTGAATAATTTAAGGGCTTTTTCAAGTGTAATTTAAACTTTTGACTAAGTCCTTGAGTAAGTTGTAGAGTCATTAGAAGAAGCCAGAGTATCTTTAAAAGCAGAGAATGAGAAATTGAATCTGACAGTACTTTTTCCTGCAGATAGGGATAAATTGGTAAATTATAGAGAGGGGAGAGAATTTATAAAAGAAATGCCTCTATAGTTGAATATTATTAAAATACATCAAGGACCTAAATATAAGACCTGAAACCATAAAACTCCTAGAAGAAGGCACAGGGGCAAGGTTTCATGGCATTGGGTTTGGCATGGACCTCTTGGATATGACACAGCAACTGTGGACAACAAAAGCAGCAATAGACAAATGGGACTTACTTCATCAAACTGTAAAAACTAGGCAGCAAAGGGAAGCAACCGACGAGTGAAAAAGCAACCTGCAGAATACGAGAAAATATTTGCAAACCACATATCTGATCAAGGGTTCATAACCCCAAGATAGCTGAATATTACTTGCTGCTAGATAAAGCACTTTTGTTTGCTATAGCTAAAGTATTTGATCTGTGTTACTGCTGCTATTAACTCCTGCATCTGTAAGAAAAGAATATTAATATAGGTCTGTAGCCTTTAGCTATCATGTGTTGGGGATAGCCCCTACGGGCATTTCTTTCACCTCGGGAAATACTGGGTAAAATCCTATGAGATTTTCTACATTTGCTAACTTAGCAATAAAAATGTTGGATCACTGGAACTGAAGTGTAACAGTTTCCTCAAGTAACTTTCCTCAAGTAACAGTTGTGAATTTGGTTTAGCGAGATACGTGCATGATTTTTCTTTCCTAACCATCTACGTGCTGCTAAGCCTCTTTGGAGTCCTGATCCTTTTCATGTTGCTGAAATCTCTTTAACTGGCTTGAGTGTGGGGAAATTATCTCTTTGACAGAATGGGTAACGGTCTTTCTAGACACGATCCCAGTTTCTCCGATTCAGATCGTCCAGTGTGCAGCACACCCAGGTGTTCCTGCTGCCGTCTGTCAGCTAGTGTCCTACGCGGCCGTGTGTGAGGAGGGCTGCACGCCCTGAGAGAACAGGAGTCAGGAGAGGCACAAACGGGAGGGTTCGTGCCCTGAAACCGCTGGCTTCATTCTGAAGAATTAGCGTACAGATTAGGGTGTTTATCTCCTTATGAGGACATCAAGCAGTGATATTGTCCTACCACGTTGGTAATAACTTCAGTTTACACTTTGTTGTCCTCCCGTCTAACTTCCTCCACAGTTTTTTCTTTAATATCCTCCTGCTTCAGATGTGTAAACTGTCTTCTCAGCAGTGTGATGGTTTGGGTTTCAAATTAGTACTTTGCTGCCGGTGGCACTGCTCTTGGAAAGCATCTGTGGCCGGCTTTGTAAAAAGGATCCTGAGTGAGGGGTAGATGGAGGGTCTTTTGGTTCCTGCTTCCTTTTCCCTCTTCAGTGTATGATCCACACCGATGAAAATTTTGTTTTGTAGAGTTTAACTAACAGTGCCCATCATTTTTATGTACATGTCGCAGAAAGATGCTTGGGAACTCTTATTTTATTTTTATTTTTATAGTTTTTATTTATTTTTGAGACAGAGAGACAGAGCATGAGCGGGGGAGGGGCAGGGAGAGAGGGAGACAGAATCTGAAACAGGCTCCAGGCTCCGAGCTCTCAGCACAGAGCCTGACGCGGGGCTCAAACCCACAAACCATGAGATCGTGTCTTGAGCTGAAGCCGGACGCTCAATCGACTGAGCCACCCAGGCGCCCCTAAATTCTTATTTTAAAGAGCCCTTCTGAGGGCAGGAAATCTATCCGTTCATCACTATATTCCCAGCCCTCAGCACAATGCCCACACATCACAGGTACTCAAGAAATAGTGTTTTTTGAAGGGAGGGAGGGAGGAATTCAGCCAGCACCAAACAAGGTTTTCAGTGCAGCGTTTTCAACTGGATAATGCACAGTTGGGGCTACGTTCCCACCCTTTGAAACATTTTTGACTGCTTAAGTAAGCGTCTGTTAGCCTGTACTTGGAATTTCACCCCTTCCTCTTCTTTCTCAAATTAGTAGCTCTGGTATTGCCTTCCCTTTATGCCAGCTTCCATGTAACAGACCGAGAAAGTAGGATTATCAAATCCGAGGTGTGCAAATAGAGCCTGGCGGAGATAAAGGTGCAAACATCATATACCTTTTAGTCACTTTTGATCTTTGCTTTTGAACTACTTTTCTGCCTCTTTATTTTACTGTTTCTAACTGAAATCTTTATTCTGCAGCCACAATACCAAGACAACCACCTGGTTGGATCCTCGTCTTTGTAAGAAAGCCAAAGCCCCTGAAGACTGTGAAGACGGAGGTAGATTCAGAAATCTTTTATACTGTACTTATTCTCCTAATCCCCCTTGTTCTTCTCAGTGACTTTTCTAAAACCCTAAAAACCATAATGTACAGAAGCAGTGGGTAGATATCATACTCAGCTGATCCTGATAATTGTCATTGCATCTAATGTTAGGAAAAGACTTTATTTCTCTCTTTTTGAAGATTCTACAGTGAAATTGTTTTTAAAAGTCTTAATAAAAGTACACTGGCCTTTGTTTTACATTTGCTTTAAAGGCAAATTTTTAATTTTCTAAAAAATATTTTAACAAATTAGATACATTCTCAGCCATGGGGTAGCTTCATCATTGCTATTGAACCTTCAAAAATATATTTAATTCAGTATCACTAGGACAGATATGCTAGTATCAATGGCTAATTTTTCATTTTTTTTTTAATTCAAAAACATTTTTTTTGAGAGAAACAGAGTGTGAGCAGGGGAGGGGCAGAGAGAGAGAGGGACAGAATCAGAAGCAGGCTCCAGGCCTCTGAGCTGTCAGCACAGAGCCTGATGTGGGGCTCAAATTCACAAACCGTGAAATCATGACCTGAGTGAAATCAGATGCTTAACCTCCTGAGCCACCCAGGCGCCTCAGCTAATCTTTCATTGAGACCATCAGTAGAAACTCAATGAAACATACCCTAACCTGCCACCCCTGCCTGCACACAATTTTTACTGCTTAGTAGAAAAATTCCTCTAAGAATTCTTTTTTTTTTTTTAATGTTTTATTTATTTCTAGGAAAGAGAGAGAGAGACAGCGTGAGCAGGGGAGGGTCAGAGAGAGAGGGAGTCACAGACTGAAACAGGCACCAAGCTCTGAGCTGGCAGTCAGCACAGAGCCCGACGCGGGGCTCGAACCCACAAACTGCGAGATCATGACCTAAGCAAAAGTCGGACGCTTAACCGACTAAGCCACCCAGGCGCCCCTCCTCTAAGAATTCTTAGATACTACTGCTTGTGTGTACTATACAGTATTTAATAGTATAGTCTTATACATAAATATAGAATTTACCCCAATGAAAATTATTTGCTCTGCCTTCTTGAATACAGAGTGAGGATGAATAAAATTTGCATTCATTTTGTATCATTGAATGAGAAATTATTTACCTTGGTTAAAAAACAAAGAATGGCTAAGAATGAGGTTCAGATCGTCTTCCTATAGATTGAACTCCAGTCTATTAAAAAAAATTAAACAAGTTACACTTTTTTTTCAGCATGATTGCAATATTAAAAGCTTTTCTTTTTTCTTTATAATTTTTTATTATAAAGAGAGAGAGAGACAGCGTGAGCAGGGAAGGATCAGAGGGAGAGGGAGACAGAATCTGAAACAGGCTCCAGGCTCTGAGATGTCAGCACCGACAGCTGAGACAGAGCCCGACTCAGGGCTCGAACCCACGAACTGCAAGATCATGACCTGAGCCAAAGTTGGACGCTTAACTGACTGAGCCACCCAGGCGTCCCTTAAAAGCTTTTCTAGGAACACCCAATTGGAAAATGAATCATTTAAAAATTGTTTGCAATGATAAAAGAAAAATTACCTTGGAGCAAATCTACTGAAAGACGCACGAGATAAACTGAAAACTATAAAATATCCCTGAAAGAACTTAATGAAGACTTAAAATAATTAAGAAGATATACTGTGTTCCTAAATTGAATGACACAGTATTGTTAATGATGTTTGTTTTCCCTAAATTGATATCAAGATTCAATGCGATCCCAATCAAAATCCTCTGTCTTGAAGAAATTGACAAGCCACTTCTTAAAATATTTATAGAAATAAAAGGCTCTGGTTAGCCAAATGGTCTTAAAAAGGACAGAGGTAAGGGACATAGGCTACCAGATTTGAAGAGTTACTGTAAAGCTCAGTAATCAAGGCAGTGTGGTATTGACGTAGGGTAGACAAGCAGATCACTGGAACAGGATGGAGCATCCAGAAATAGATGCACAGTATGTGATCACTTAAATCTGCAGCCCAGCTGCCAATCAGTTCAGTAGAAGAGACGAATCTTTAACAAATGGAGCTGGGAAAACTGGATATTCATTAGGAAAAATGAGCTTTAACCATACCTCACTCCATACACAAAAGTTAATTTCAGGTGAACTGAAATCCTAATCATAAAAGCTAGAACCATAAAGCTTTTAGAGGAAAATTTAGGAGAATATCTTCATAACTGTGGGATTAGCAAAGATTTATTATACAGACCACAAAAATAGGAGCCATAAAAGAAAAACTTGAGGGACACATGGGTGGCTCAGTCAGTTGTGTCCAGCTCTTGATCTCAGCTCAGGTTTTGATCTTAACATCATGAGTTCAGGCCCCACGTTGGGGTCCATGCTGAGTATGGTGCCTACTTAAAGAAATAAAAGAAAAACTTGATAAATAGGACTTAATAAAAATTGAAAATTTTTATTCATCAAAAGACACCATTAAGAAAATGAATAGTCAAAGCCCCAGGCTTTGCAATATGTATCTGACAAAGAAATTACACCCTGAATCAGAAAAGAATAGTTATAACTCATTAATAAGAAGACAAAAACCAAACTTTAAATTGAGCAAAATATTTTTTTGTTATTTTTTTAAAGTATTTATTTTTCATGGAGAGCAAACAGGGGAGGGGCAGAGAGAAGGAGACCCAGAATCCGAAGCAGCTCCAGGCTCCAAGCTGTCAGAGCCCAACACGGGGCTCGAACCCGCAAACCACAAAATTATGACCTTAGCTGAAGTCTGGGCACTTAACCGACTGAGCCATGCAGGTGCTCTTTAAATGAGCAAAATATTTAAATAGACATTTCATTAAAGAAAATATACAAATGCCCAATAACCACTAGAAAGTATACTTACCATCACTAGTCATTAGGGAGATGCAAATTAAAAACAACAGTGAGATACCACTTTATCCACTAGGATGACTATAATCAGAAAAGACAGATAATAAGAAATGTTGGTGAAGTTGGGAAGAAATGGTAACCCTTACAAGGTGCTAGGCAGATGTAATTGCAGTTTGGCAGTTTGTTAAAATGTTAAATACAAATTTACCGTATCTCCTCACGATTCCACTTCTAGCTCCCTACCCAAAAGGAACGAAAGCATGTCCACAAAGACTTGCCTATAAATATTCAGAGTAGAATTATTCATAAAAGCCGAAAAGAGGAAACCATTCACATGGCCATCAGCCAATGAATGGATAAGTAAAATATGGTGTAAACATATAATGGAATACTATTCAACAATAAAAAGGAGTGAAATCATATACATACTACAACACAAGCAGACCTCAAAATGTTATTCTAGGTGACAGAACTAGACACAAAAAGACCCACTACTGCATGACTCCATTTATATGAATATCTGGAGAAGGCAAATCTCTAGAGGCTGGAAGTAGATTACCGGTGGCTGCCCAGCAGCGAGGATGGGAATAAAGATTAAGAGCATGAGAGATCTTTTTTTCCCCCTTTTTAAAAAATGTTTGTTTATTTATTTTGAGAGAGAGAATGAGTGGGGGTGGGGCAGATGGAGAGAGAGAGAATCCTAAGGAGGCTCTGGACTGTCAGTGCAGAGCCTGACACCAGGCTCAAATTCATGAACCGCGAGATCATGACCTGAGCTGAAGTTGGATGCTCAACTGACTGAGCACCCAGGTGCCCCTAAATAATTTCTTATAACATACCTCTCTTGTCTAAAGGCTTTCATCAGTAAGTTCTATGTGGTGAAATCAGCTACTGTAAAGGCAAACTAGAATATATAATACCAGAGAATTCTACCTTTTAAAGCTTATAAATGCGGTATTGGTCTTCTCGGGCACGTCTCTATTGCTGGTCTCCATTCCTTTTCCTGACCCCTGATTGTTTCAGCTAGTTCTGTGCCTCTTCCTGTTTTCCCTTGTAGAATGTATTTATTTTTGCAGATTTAACCGTTATTTACTATAGCTAGTCCCCTTATTGGATCTCTAATACTGTCCTGTTTTGACTTCTGTCTCTGTATTTCCTACTGAATTTGAGACTTTTTTTTTAAACTGCCTAAGTAGCCCTTCTAGTAAACGTTCTTAAAACTTAACATCTTTCTCCTAAAGTCCCCCCATCCCTCTTTCTGTGTCAGGTACCATGCTCATAATCATCTGGGCCAGATGTTCGGGGTCCTATTTGCTTCTTCCTTACCTCTTGCTCTATGCCCTATCCTGTTTCCTGTTCCTCTTTCTTTTTTCAATATTTTGTTCATATATTATTATGAGAATTTTACAGTAATCTACGCATCGCTGAGATACTATAATGGACATTTTGCTCTATTGGCTTTTTCACATAGCTGTCTGTCTGTATGCTTTCCTATCTTTTACTTTTTTTTTTTTTTAATGTTTTTTATTTATTTCAAGGAGAGAGAGAGAGAGACAGCGTGAGCAGGGGAGGGCCAGAGAGAGAGGGAGTCACAGACTGAAACAGGCTCCAGGCTCTGAGCTGGCAGTCAGCACAGAGCCCGACGCAGGGCTCGAACCCACGAACCGCGAGATCATGACCCAAGCGAAAGTCGGACGCTTAACCGACTAAGCCACCCAGGCGCCCCTCCTATCTTTTACTTTTATATCTTCCTCTATCCTTCCAGTCACCATGAGCTTGGATTCCTCTTGGTCTTTGTCTCCAGTTATTTCTCTTCCTCCAGTATGTCGTTTATGCGAGTGCTCTCCCAAATGGTGGTGCTCAGATTGTCTGTTGGTGTACAGGAAGAAAATGTTAGAGCTTATTTTTCATTATGCTCCTACTGGGGAAAAAAATAAGTTTCTCTACTCTTTTATTTCATTCTTTATGTAGGTTATTATGTACAGGACTTAGAGTGTCTTGAGGGAAAAATGAACATAACACAAGTTGTCAAGCACTGTGAAGTTTTACAGTTTGCTTGTGCCCAGTTAAGTGGATATACAAACTAGGTTACATACTTTTTAATTCATAAAAATTGAAATGTGGCTTAAAGATTTTGCATAGATACTGCT